GTGTTTGGGCTGACTCGGGCAGTCCTGGCAGTGCTCAGGAGTATCCAGGGTTACATCCAGTGACTCATGTGGTGCCGGGACCCAACCAGAATCAGCTACATGCAAGGCATGCACGTTTTGCCCTACAGTAACTTCCCAACTCCAACATAAAAGTCTTCTTGTTGTTGTTGCTTTTGGTTTTGGACCACACCTAGTGGTGCTCAGGGATTACTCCTGGCTCTGGGGAATCACTTCTGGCAGATTTGGGTGACCATATAGGATGCCAGGGATTGAATCCAGGTCAGCCATCTTCAGGGCAGCACCCTACCCACTATACTATCTCTCTGGCCCCTTTTTAAAATCTTTTAAAAGAAGAGTCACATCTAAAGGGTTCAAGGGCCATGCAGTACTAGGGATGATACTTAGGGCCCCACACAAGCAAGCATGAACTCTACTACCTGAGTTTTCTCTCCAACCCCAACAAATAATTTTTGAGCCACACTATTTGTGAATTTAGATACTAAAAAATGGCACAGATTTAAGTTATTCTAAGACAAAGAAAGTTGCATTCTAAAATTAAAAACTAAATCTTTGGGCTGGAGTGATAGCAGAGTGGATAGGGCATTTGCTATGCACGTGGTCAACCCGGGTTCGATTCCCAGCATCTCATATGGTCCCCTGAGCACCGCCAGGAGTAATTCCTGAGTGCACAGGCCAGGAGTAACCCCTGTGCATCACCGGGTGTGACCCAAAAAAGAAAAAAAAAGTTAAATGTTTAAAAAAAAAATTAAATCTATTTTGTGTGATTGCTGTGTCAGGAATTAGATCCTGAGCCTCACACTGGCAGGCAACTGCTCAGCCACTTTAAATAGATAAAATAACTCTGGACTCAAATTGCCTCCAAAATCCTACAGTAGCAAAACAGTCTATATTTTAGTCCCTTACTCTGAATTCCTTCTACTGTCTTCCGCTTCCTTCTACTTTGATTTGTGGATAGCATTTACAAATGGGTCCCTTATTCTCTGTCCTGTATCATCTATATTTACATGCCCCACCCATAAGGATTCATTTATCACCCGCACAAATTCGCATCTGTCTAAATCTGACTTTATTTAATGGAACACATTTATTTAGCAAACAAACATGACCCCATGTCAAAATTCCCCCTTTCACTTAACTTCTATTTTAAAACTTCCAGATTCACAGCTCCTTCCTTTACTTCCATATTTATTACCAAATGCAATAGATTCATCCCTTACAATAGATTCATCCCTTACAAAGTCACGAGTACTGTCCTTCCTTTCTATTTCCCCCATGATCAGCCACTCCAGGTCATTATCTCCCACATGTATTATTTCAATAGCCTCTTAGCTGATCGCCTTACCTACTTCCAACCTCTTCACACTTTACCCAACATACATAAAGAGCTGCCAGAATTGAAATTGAAATCACTTCAATTTGTCCACTCAGAAACCCACAGTGCCTCCCCACTGTTCCAAATCCAAATTCCTTGGCCAAATGTTCTAGTTAGTTACAATGTAATGGCACTTTTTAAAAAACTAACTAGGGAATTTTTTTTTTTTACTTTAACACAGTGGCCATTAGCTCCTCTAAATTTACATATTTCACTCCCTGTTTCAAGACCCTTCAAGTGATTGATAGTAAGGGTTGAGGGTATTTTTGGTAGGTAGAGAAGGGCAGCATACTAGCAGTGCTGAGGTCTTGCTCCTGGCTCTGCAGTCAGGGATCACGCCTGGTGGAGCTTGAAGGGCTACATGAGGTGTCAGGGACTGGACCAGGGTCAGCCGCATACAAGGCAAGAGCCTAACTCACTGTACTATCACTCAGGCCCCTGTATGAGTTGAGGATATTTGAATTCAGATGCAAAGAGCTAGATTTGAAACCAGTCTCTACCACTTAGGAACTAAACTGTACTAACCAAATCATTCAACCATCTGTTTAACATAGATCCTAACCATACCTCATAAGGATTTTATGAAAACTAATGTAATACATTTAAATCACTAGGCCAACGTGCTATAGCATGATCAATAAATGTTAATTACTGTCAATATTATAGCATGGTCACTCTGATCTAGACAAGTTAGTCTGAATGTTATACCAAAGGCATTGCCTTTACTTCCCGTATTCTTTACCTCCTAAACCACAAACTTACAGTTGAAATGGGTCTCAGAAAGGAGCTGCAGACATCATTACCTTTCAAATTTTGCCCCTCTCATCCCCACCCTCCACCCCCCCATATTTGATTGCTATCTATTCCTAAATTAAATACAAGTGTACAATTGGCACACAGTAACAAGTCCTTAATGAAGTTTGTTGGGAAAGTATGCTAAACAATAAAATGTGCAATCAGTATGTATTCTTGCCTATTTCGAAATATCAATAAACTATATATAATTAGGCTGTCTCTAAATGGCCCTCCCGTTGATCGTCGATTTGCTAGAGCGGGCCCAGTAACGTCTCCATTGGAGACTTTGTTGTTACTGTGTCTGGCATATTGAATACTCTCGGTAGCTTGCCGGGCTCTCCGAGAGGGGCGGAGGAATCGAACTCGGGTCAGCCATGTTGGCCGCGTGTAAGGCGAACGCCCTACCCGCTGTGCTATCGCTCCAGCCCTCTAAATGATGCTCCATAATTTCAAGTTTCAAGTATTCCAGCCAGAAATTAAAACCTAATATGTAACTTGGTAACTGTCCTCAAATTGCAACTGTGCTCAAATCCAACTAGACATTTTGTATCATTCTAACTGCTTAAACCTCTCTGAAGGTATTTACTTTCTAGCTCTCTATTACCTATATAATCCTAATAGGTGATGACTTTACATGGGGTTAATGTTTAAACACAGTTATGAATTACAGGGATTTCCAACATCAATATAATATAAAATAAGGAATAAGACTTAAAAGTTCTCAAGAGGGACAGGAGGAATGAGGGGCTCATGCACCTGCCTTGCCAGCATCCAGCCCTAAGTCCAAACCTCCTGGGTCTCACAGCAGGAGACAGTCTGGCAGCCCTGAAGTCTGTGATCCCTGGAACTGCAAGTAATTTCTGATCTCACCATCTGTAGCTAGGCTGTGTGTATAGAAAGGGGTGCAACCCCCAATAAGCACTGCAATTCCCATTGAGCAACGCAACTAAATGAGGTGTAGGACCAGTTAGAATGACTTCTGACAAGCATGTATATAAGCAACACAGCAACCAGTCCCTGGAGCACCGCAACCACACTGTATGCCTCAGCTGATTGTGCTTGCTGGCACAATGTGTGCAAGCACTGCAGCCTAAGAGTGCAAGCCTCAGGGTGTACCACGAGTGTGCAAGAACCACAACCTAAAATGCTAGACCCCCCCCCCCCCTCATTGAACATCACAGCCAGGTATGTGTGTCACACCTGGCTATCACCAAAGGAGAAAACTAAAAATAAAATAATAATCACAAATTAAACGAGACCAGAAAAATATTACAGGGGTTAAAGTGCCTGCCTTGCATGCAGATGATGCCTCTTGGATCTCTGGTACCATATGGTCCTCGGAGCCCCGCCAGGAGTGATCCCTGAGCACAGAGCCAAGAGGAAGACTTGGGCAAAGTTGGGTATAATCCCCAAATCCAGAAATAAATAGATAAAAGTAGTTGAAAATTAGACCAGAATCCCAGCTCCGTTCTCATACTTGCTGCTAAAATAACAAACTCAAGTAGATTCTTTTTTTTTCTCCTCCATCATACTTGTCCCTGACACCTAGGTCAAAGCTCTTTTCACTACATCACACATCATCTCAACTGACTTCTTGCACGCTTACTTATCAAACAAAATAAAATCAACAGTATCACATGAATGCCTCACAAACCAACTGAGTATAATCACATGGTATGGCTTTAACACTGACATATTTTTGGCTGTTTCCAAGAACATTTGTGAGAAATAGATGTTTTAAGCCTTTCTAACAGAACATTTCTAACACAATTACTTTTGTTCTGGAAATAGGTATTCCTTCATCTTTTTTTTTGAATAAATTTTAAGATCCACCTTTTCACTGGTTCCATGAACAACACATATATACATATGGTTTTCCATGCAGCTTCATCCCCAACAATAGCTTAAGTAACTCACATCTCAGATAAAAATGTCATCTATTCCAGGCTCATCAGCATATGTTAGAATCTGTTCCTAATATAGAATCAGACTTTCAGAGTTGGAAGGAACCTTGGAGATCACCTCTCATTTTACAGAGAAAACTAATCCCCCTTAGGGCTCGCCCAAGGTCATAGCTCTACATAAGAACCTAACTTCATAATATAAAGTTTTCAAAAGATATATACTTTTTAAAACCAGAGCATTTAGTGAAACACTTGAGCTTCTCTCTCTTCTACTTCTTAAGTACAACTTTCTACATGAAGAACTTTTGAAACTCAGGAAAAGAAAATAAAGCAAAAACTAGGCCAATTTTTTAAAAGTCTACCACCAAGTCACTGATCTTAAAAATATAGCAAATGTTAAAGTAGATTGTTGCAAAAAACACTGACAGTAATATTTTGTAACAAAATTCCATAAACAGGTAGAGAGAAAAGATACCCATAAATTAAGAATAATTATATTATTATTTGCATAACACATTAGAGAAAAATGTTTCCAAACATGCAACTTCCAAGGATGAATTGCAACAACATACCTCAATCACAAAATGACAAGATATTTTGAAATTTTATTTTGATTACAACTACTTAAGGGAAGCTAGAAATTTTTTCTAATGCTAGTTCATATGTTTTTAAAATATGCTTTAAAATTGTTCAAAAGGCAAAGATTGAGGGAAATTTTTTTTACCAAACCTAATAAAAAAGAAAACTTTACTCAAACACTAGTAAGAAAATTATGGGCTATATTATCTATCCATGAGTCTAAGAATGTAGAAAAATAAAACATCCCTCAAAGTTATATCCTGAAAAGTACTAGACTTTCAATTATGTTTTTTTCTATGAAAAATAGCACAAATCATAAAACAATTTACCTGTAGAAATATATTTCTTAACTCATGAGGATCACCTCGCTTGGTTGTCTGCACCTGTAAGGGGGAATAAAAAAGTCAGTTAATACTTCACCAGAGATCACATAATCTCTTTAGATTAGCACTCAGACACTAACAATCAATTCTCTTATCATTTATAAGGGCATTTAGTTTAAAGCAAACCAAAAGCAATAATACCGATAACAACTGTCAAATTGAATATCTATACCTTACAGGGTGAAAAGATAGGTGTGAATAGTCAGATACAGCAAATCTACCAGGTAGATTTTCTCTGGAACGGGAGGCAGGGGAGATCAATCTAGTTTCTCCACCTCTGCTAGACACGGTAGCAATCATCCAATTCCAGAGGCCCACAAGAGTAGAGCAACAGGAAAACTGAAACACCCAAATTAATCGCATGGCCTAGCAGTCTTTCTTCCCGATGCAATGCAATCCTGAATCTAATTATCTCCGCGCCCTTCTCTTTCTCCACCCAGTCTAAAATATGAAAGCAGCTACAACGTTTCCAAATACTTCCGACATCCTGCCACCTGCAGCGCAAATACCAACCATTGCCCCCCATCCTTACTGTGGCCCCAAATTGCCAGCTATTCATCCCCTCCCCCACCGCAACACACAGATGTCTTAGGTACCCCGGCGTTTCATGCTCCTTCCCCCACTGGCTTTCAGATGCCCTCCAATTCCAGCCTCGCGATCCTATGCACCCCAGGCCAGGGCACAACTCTTTCATCACTGACCCACGGTCCTCGGAAACCCCTCAAACTCACAATCCTTCCTCCTTCCCCTCCCCCAGCACGGCATCCTCTTCCTCCATTCCAAACCCCCGCACAGCTTTCCCACCCGCGAGCTAGGAGCCCCAGGACGCGTTATCTAAAGAACAAGGCAAAGGAGGAAAACGGGTAGAGGTGCCAGGGCTGCGGGCAGGGCGCCTGGAATGTCTCCTATGCAATAAAGGCAGCAGCAGAGAGTTGGAGTCACCTTGACCGCCATGCTGTGCTCGGAAGCCGGGGACGAGCAAGTGAGCGAGCGGGGCCGAGCTGTCAGGGCGCGCGCGCGCCGCTCCCCGGCCGCGCCCGCCCTCCCGCTCGCCGGCGCCGCGCGCGTCCCTATGCAAATGAGCGAGGGGCGGGCCGCGCGGGGACCGGGCTCGGCGCCCCGGGCTCCCTGCGAGCCGGGCCCGGGCCCCGCCGTCCCTCCAACGCCCAGGAGCTGGCCGCACTTCCCCAGGGGCACGCGGGCAGTGCCAGCCGTGGTTCCCGTCGCGCTGCCAGGTTGCCCTCAGCTCGGTTGCCGCCAGGAGAGCCAGATTTCCCAAGGCCTCTTTGTGGGTGCGGCTTTGGGCACCGACCCCTGCCAAAGTCGTTTTCCCCGGAGACTTAAAGGAACCCTAGGGGCCTCGCCTGAGCCAGACTTGGAAGGGATGAAAGCGCGTTTAGCGTTAATAAGAATAACAAACGACTTACTGACAACGAATGGCAAATAGTGGTCCTGCAAAAGAGACTGGGAAACTGCTCGCTCTGGAGAAAAACCTAAGTATACAGAAGTTGAGAAATAACACCTCTCTCTAAGTTGGCAGGGTTGATGTGCTTACCATGTTTTTGCTTCCTGCACTTTGATAAAGCTTTATTAGAAGACTCGCTCTATAATCCAAATCTCCCCAGGCCTTTGCGCAATGAGATCACGAATCTATGCTTTTGTCTTGTGCAGACTGAATCCTGGACCAATTTGCCCCTAGGAAAAATTGCCAGCCATACCTAAGAACCAATTGCTCTAGCGGAACCAAAATAAGGTCCTTAAAACTGAGTCTTTCCTTTATCACTACGTTGCCCTGCATATGATTTACTCAATAGACAGAACATGCAGTATATATCAGACATAATTATGCGTGTAAAGGATACAAAGAAAGCATATAGCACCAACTCTAATTTTAAAGATAATGCTTCCACAATCCTAACTATATTTTGCCTTTAAACCAAGCATGATGCCTATTTTTTTTAATTTTAATGCCTAACAACTCTCAGATTTACCTTCATTTCATTTCACTATGTAATTTCTTCTGTATTTTGTATTTCCAAAAATTGAATCTCATAAATTTCCTTTTCTCATCTCACTAATCACAATACTTGTCTAATCCAAATTAATAGAAATGAGGAAAGAAAAATGGTAAATAGAAAATGTTGAAAAGGAATTCTAATACTCCTAAAATGAGCTTTCCTGCTGTAGATAATTTAATTCTCTGCTACCATAACATCTTTCTTCATCCTGTTCAATTATTTTAACAGTATTATCATACACAAGAATTTAGAAATATTGGGGCTGGAGTGATAGCACAGCGGGTAGGGCATTTGCCTTGTATGCGGCCAACCCAGGTTTTATTCCCAGCATCCCATATGGTCCCCTGAGCACCACGAGGAGTAATTCCTGAGTGCATCACCAGGAATAACCCCTGTGCATCACCGGGTGTAACCCAAAAAGGAAATAAAAAGAATTTAGAAATATTTTAATTTTCTAAACTTTATGTCCCTGATATCCTCTTCTTCCTATCTCTCTCTCTCTCTCTCTCTCTCTCTCTTACTTCTAGATATGAAAACAATACATTTAACTAGAATATATCAGGGTCAGAGAGCTGGTACAGAAGGAAAGGTGCCTTTTAAGTGGCCTAGTAGTTGTGCCATCCCCCCCAAAATAGAACTCATTATAATAACTTATAAGTCTGGATATCAGGACACAGTGAAATTTGCTCAGGGACACAACTTAGAAACAAAGTGCATGCCTAACAGTATTCAGCTTTTTACAACATACACACACACACACATACACACACCACATACACAAACAATAGGTGATCTTTGAATAAATTCAAAACATTCATTGGTATCAAAATAGTTGCAATTAAAATTATATAATAATTTTAAACCAAATAAAGATGCAGTTTGGAGGGGATAGTAGAACACAGCTAACCTAAAGAAAGGCATATTTTACTAATTATAATCTGGAAAATATAATAAGCAATAAGATAGACAAAAGGGTCGGTGGTAGATAGCTTAATGGGCTGAAAGCATGCTTTATATGCAAGAGGCCTAGGATCAATCCCAGGATTGAACATATTAGTGAGCTCAAAGCACAGAGCTGCGAACAGGCCCCCAAGCACCACTATATGTCGCTTCAATTTTTTTTAATTTTATTTATTTATTTATTTTTGCTTTTTTGGATCATACCCAGTGATGTACAGGGCTTACTCCTGGCTCATGCACTCAGGAATTACTTCTGGCAGTGCTCAGGGGACCATGTGGAATGCTGGGAATCAGACCCAGGTCATCCGCGTGCAAGGCAAATGGCCTACCCACTGTGCTATCACTCCAGCCCCTCATTTTTTTATTTTATTTTCTTTTTGGTGAACAAAAATGTTAGAAGTACGTTGTAGAAAATAAGCTAAGTCAAGTGAAAACAGAGATAGACAAATGGGACTATCTTAAACTAAGAAGCTTCTGCACCTCAAAAGAAACAGTGACCAAAATACAAAGAGAGCCTACAGAATGGGAAAGGATATTCACCAAATACACATCCGACAAGGGGTTGATATCAAGGATATACAAGGTACTTGTTAAACTCCACAAGAAGAAATCACCCAACCCCATCAAAAAATGGGTCGAGGAAATGAACAGAAACTTTCGCAAAGAAGAAATCCGAATGGCAAAAAGGCACATGAGAAAATGCTCTACATCACTAATCATCAGAGAGATGCAGATCAAAACCACAATGAGATATCATTTCACACCACAGAGACTGGCCCACATCCACAAGAACAAAAGCAACCAATGCTGGTGCAGATGTGGCGAGAAAGGGACCCTCCTTCACTGCTGGTGGGAATGCCGGCTGGTCCAACCCTTTTGGAAAACAGTATGGACGATTCTCAAAAAATTAGAATTTGATCTGCCATTTGACCCAGCTATAGCACTCCTCAGAATATATCCCAGAGAGGCAAAAAGGTATAGTCGAAGTGACATCTGCAATTGTTTGTTCATTGCAGCACTCTTTACAATAGCCAGAATCTGGAAAAAACCTGAGTGCCCAAGAGCAGATGACTGGTTAAAGAAACTTTGGTACATTTACACAATGGAGTACTATGTAGCTGTTAGAAAAGATGAAGTTATGAAATTTACATACAAGTGGTACTACATGGAAAGTATCATGTTAAGCGAAATGAGTCAGAAAGAGCAGGATAGACACAGGAAGATTGCATTCATCTGGGGAACATAAAGCAACAAAAAGGGAGACTAACACCCAGGAATGGCTGAGATTAGTACCAGGAATTTTGCTCCATGATTTGAAGGCCAGCCACATGTGCTAGATGAAAAGGAAGCTCAGATAGAGAAGAGAGCACCAAATAAAGGGTGTTGTGAGGACCCTCCCAGGGTGGGGAGAAGCATGCTAAAAGTAGTCTATAGACCAAACATGATTGCCACTCAATGCCTCTCTTGCAAAACATAGTACCCAAAAGAAGAGAGAGAGAACAAGGGGGAATACCCTGCCACAGAGGCAGGGTGGGACGGGGGTGGGGGGATGGGGGGTGGGGGGATGCTGGGACCCGTGGTGGTGGATGATGGGCACTGGTGGAAGATGGGTACTTGATCATTGTATAACTGAAACTCAAGCACAAAATTTGTAAGTCTATAACTGTACCTCATGGTGTTTCACTAATAAAAAAAGGGGAAAAAAAGAAAATAAGCTAAGTAATCGAAAGGACTACAAAAGAATATAAATTGAAAGCACATTAAGCTTTCTCACCCTGAAAATCCTGATAACTAGTCATACTGTTACAATTATTGTCTGGTGGTATTATCAGAAGTTAAAGTAAAACTTACTTTTGCCTTGATTGTATCTAGAGTTATCTGATCAGTGTTGAAAAAAAATGTATTAGTCTGATAGGAGAAATCAAAACTATCAAGTAAGATGCATAATGTGAATTGAGGAAATATGGTAGAAATAAAACATATGACAGTGTTTGGGCCATTACTTGCTAAGACAGCATCTTGTGAGTAACTTATTAAATATTTACAAACAAAAACATTTCTAAAACCATGAAGTAAAAGAAAGTTGAAAATTTGATCATTAGGACATCATCTATAATGAATGACATATCAGAGAAGAAAATTGGAGATAAAGGCTGAAGAGAGTTAAGACCATGCACTAGGATTAGGCTTTGGAATAAGGAGAGACTCTTATGACTGTTTTGCTATCCTATCCAGAGCCCTAAAACTTTCTCCATATAAGCAACAAAGCCATTATGCTTCCTTATCATTCTTGTGTTCTCCAGACAGCACTTTTATCTTCCTTTAAAACTGTTCACTTTGGTGGGAAATGGGCACTGGTGGAGGGATGGGTATTTCATCATTGTATAATTGAAAGCCAAGCACAAAAATTTGTAAGTCTACAACTGTACCTCATGGTGTCTCACTAATAAAAATTTTTAAAAAATAAAACTGTTCACTTTGCATTCAGAACTTGGCAGATTATTTGGCACAAGAGATCTAGTTTTCAGGCTATTTTGGCCTTTAACCTGTGTTCCTCACTATGCTTAATTATTTCTTGCATTATTTGTTTTAATATCTATGTGCAATTTTCCCTCCATTGGAAAAATAGTAGTCATTGTAAGGTTACTTATTGACTTAATTTCAATATTCCTGGGTTTTCAGGGAATAGGGAAACCAGAAGAGAAGGAGAGAAACACAGGACCATAGTCTGTAGAGCTGTCAGAATACAGACAATGTGCAGTCTTACATGGGTAGCATATGGAGCAGGAGCAATAGTATAGCGGTTATTGCACTTGTCTTGCATGTGGTTGACCCTGGGTTTGATCCTCTGAAGCCCGTATGGTTTCCCAAGCACTTCCAGGAGTTAATTCCTGAGTCCAGAACCAGGAGTAACCCCAGAGCATCAGTGGGGGTGGCCCAAACACACACACACACACACACACACACACACACAGAGGGGGAAAAAAATCATAGGCAGTGTTCATGGTGTCCCAAGACAATTACAACAATAACATAAAAGATTACTGATCATAGATTGTCACTGCCCTCCCGTTGTTCATCAATTTGTTCATTGATTTGCTCGAGCGGGCCCAGTAAAGTCTCCATTGTGACAATTGTTACTGTGTTTGGTATATCGAATATGTCACAGGGAGCTTGCGGGTGAGATAATCTCAGTAGCTTGCCGGGGTCTCCAAGAGGGGCGGAGGAATTGAACTCGGGTTGGCCATGCTGG